CCCCCCCCCCCCACCCCTCCGCCAAGATCCTAACTCTATAGACTATTTTGTATGCATAAAGCCCTGAGGGGAAAAAACACTAATCCGCTTTCTATTATTATAAAAAGACTGCCATTTAGTAGACGGAAATCAAGTGGTGTTCGAGAACATCTTCTCGGGGAGAGTGCGAAATCAGCTTTAATTTGATTACGAATAGGATTGAGGTTGTAATAGGCACCACCAATGGAGGATATTTTGAATAAAACTCCTTCACTAAAACTTTATTTGTTGCGAACTGAACTTCATTTAAATCTCTTTAGCCTTTTAATAACCAACCTAATGAGAGACTGGAAAAAATTCCTCCCTACCCCAAATACCCTTTAAATTAGCATTTTTCCTGATATTCTAAAACTATAGGTCATATTTTATAGGTGATTTAAGTATTTTTATACTTCCCAATACTCACTGCTTAATCTGTAGATGAATTTCTCAAAAGCTTGAAGTGAAACTCATGATGTCACTTGACAATTTTCAATTTCTCAACAATCAGATCGGATCTTAAGGTATGTTTTTTGTCGAATTACAGCTAATTTTATTTAGCTAGTGTTAGTATTCCCCGGGAGATAAAAGTGAAAGCTGCCTAAAAGTACAACATTATAAATGCTGGAAAAATCAACCAATGCAGAAATTCAACAAGTCTAAATGAGAAAGAAACCTGAAGGCTAGCAAAAGACACAAATTCAACGCAAAATTCAAGAAAAATACTGTCTTCGGCAAGACGCAAGAATTGCGTACGTGATCGGTAAGCATGCCGGCTGCCGAAATGTCATAAAAGAGCTAAAGCGCCTGGTTACTGAAATCCATTTAAGTAGTATACAACTCACCGCTTTTATAACGGAGTCTATATAACGAAGGAGAATTGAACACTCCATGGTGATAATATCTTCCAAGTTGAGCACCGCATCACATAGCAGACGAATGAATTCATCAGTAAGAACCCCTAAACGATACTTAGGAGAAATTTAAGTATACTTACCAAGAAATCGAAGGTAAATAGTGACAGGGAGCGGATCAATACATTTGAAAACAGTGAGTAAAAGAGAGATACAACCAACAATCGCCTTTTCACATACTTCACTACCTTCTCCTGCACAATCCTGAAAAAAAACAAAGCCCAATCAAAGGTGATCAAATGATGCGTTACTCGACAGCGTTCAATGCAAACCTTAAGACCACGCGTAGAATTAAATTTTTCTTGAATAAGCGACTTTTGAGTGCGTAAGTGTTCCATGAGAGTGGATGTGGCAGCATTTCTCAGAGGAGTGACAAGATGAAGAGTGGACAAGGACGCAGCTGTCTGCAAGCCCGCGCCCAATCCAAGGGACTCCACAATGGGGAAAATTTTGCTCCGGCCAAGAGTAAGGCATTGATGGGCAAGATACATGCAATCATTGTGGTAAACAGCTAGAAAAAGAGGCCACAGTACAATGTATGCTTAGAAATAAGCTTAGTGTCGATACTAAACTAGAACTATTTGCCGCCCAATCAGAGTCAAAAGCACGGGAAGCAGGCACAATGAATAAACCAATGAACGCAACAATAAAGTTTCCTTGGAACGAATAACAATTATTAAGTAGGGTGTGGTTTCAAATGGCAGGCGTTATGATAGGTATCATGGGGTGTGGGATAGACTTACCTCCACGTGGTGCACCCTGGGCAACATATAATCATACGGCAAAAAAGTCTACTGACTGGCAGTTGACTTCCCACTTCAAACTACCATCACCCCAACTGTACGACTTCTTACTTCAAACAACCATCACCCCCACTGTATGTCATTACTTCAAACAACCATCACCCCCACTGTATGTCATATTAGATTACCACAGTACTCATCTTACCCTTTCTGAACCTTTGTGTCCGTCTGTTTCTTTTACATCTGTGAACCACTCTTCTATTCCCCCTCCCGAATTCTTCTCATTTTGATGTTCTCCTCCCCTCTGTGAAGCCCGAAGACAACTAAAGGGCTAATGATAACTATCAAAATGACTGCCATTTGAAATAAATAAATTCTAAAATTCAAACTTCTGGTTTTGTTACCAGATAATTAATTCAGTTATTTAATCATATCATTGAATAAAAAATCAATTTTTGAAGAGACAAAGACACTAACAAGATGACACCAGTAAAAATAATTCGAACACAGTGAAGTCGGGAAATACAATTCAAGCTTTTAAATTGAGGCTGAAAGCCAAATTAAACGAGATTTAATCAAATTTTAACTTTAGTCGTGTAACATTTGGCAATCAGAGCATTGCTTTCAGTCTGGTAAGTTCCTACATCTATAATATTACCTTAACTACTCATAGTCGACACACAATGAACGAAACCGGCAGTGCAAATTTTATCAATTTGGCCTTTTATTTCAGTCTGTTGTGCACAGTAGCAATATGGTGGGGAATTTATTTAATTTATCGAAGCTTAACGAACGAGGAACCAATTGAAAGGTAATTCAAATAAGCTATCAGAAATTTAAATACATTGAATTAAATTTGTAAAGCGTAATCGAAGCCGGTCAGGCACTCATTGTGATAATTCTCGGATATAACTTCCACCCTGCCTCTTGATTTCTTACGAAAAACGGAGACTTGGAAAAAGTTTATTTTTTACATATTTTAACTAATTGTATGCCAAATCAATGAACATTCTAGGTAGTCAACTTCAATTTGATAAATTTTTATACAAATAAGGAATAAATTTTTGGAGATTTAACTGGAATAAAATTCTGTTATCAATGGACACAATGTGGAGAGCTTCAAAAATAGCAAAACTCAGGACTTGGAGTTGAATCATGAAGAATAACAATTTGGGAATTCAAAATATAAAAAATTTTTGTGTCAAGCTTTTGTATCTTATTGGATTCGTGTTCAATTGAAAATATTCTGATGTTTGCTGTCGCGTATGAAACAGCACTTTTTTGGGTATTCGCATGAGTTTAGTAGCATTATTTCCATACTAGTAACAAGGTTAGAGCATGAAAATTTAAAATTCGTCAGTTAAGGCCTAATTAATTTATGTTTTGCTTCGGATCGCGCCAATTAAGACAGAGCCTTGTCCACAGTATCCAATGCTCATGGTGGAGTGAATTTGTTATTTCGAAGGTCGGTTTGGGAGGAGAACTTTATATAACCGAAGCACACAATCAATCAAATTATTGCTTCAATAAGCAGTGTATACTGTGAATCGAATTCTATTCAGCAATCCGTGGAACGAGGTGCAAATGCTACCCTAATAGAAATCAGATGCTCAGATTAAGATTGTAAGATTTTTGCCTTGCGGGTATAGACCACCGATTTGTGATTCAACGTTTATCTCCAGCTTCCTGGTGGAATCATGATCACAGACCTTTAGACTTACCTCCAAGTGGTGCACCCTGGGCAACGGCAAAAAAGTCTATCAACTGGCAGTTGATTTCTCACTTCAAACTACCAACATCCCACTGTGTGTCATATTCGACTACTTCCACAGTACTCACCATTCATTTTTTCTACCTTCGCCTTTGAAATGCTCTTCTGTTCACCCCACCCCCCCTCTCGAATTGTTTTTACTTTGATGTTCCTTCCCC